TCAATCTTTGAAACCTTTGAAATCTTCTGTTCATCTCTTTTACTTCGGCATCTCTTTCCTTTGTTTTGGTTTCTCAACACTTTAGTACAATTTTCACTCTCTTTTGACATCCAATTTGGTCTTTTCTTTTTTCTCTGTCTTTGTAATGTAATGACATATATATATCCCCCTAAAAAAATAAGAACTGCAACACAAATTGATATATGTACAACCATACTTACTGCAGCATTCTTTATAATAGCTAAGAGATAGAAACAACCCAAAGATCCAACAACAGATGACTGTTTAAAAAAACTATGGTACATTCACACAATGGAATACTGTGCAACACTGAAAAATTTTTTAAACACTATACAACATGGAAGAGTCTAGAAAACATGATCATGAAGAACATAAATCAGTCACAAGGGCAAATATTATATCATGGAAAATTTACACATAGAATACTTCTCAGAGGGCTACCAAAGTTGGAAAAGGAAGAAGAAGTTTGGTGGAAAAAAAGGCAATATATAATAAGAGGTTGCTCAGACTTTGTAATGAATAAGGCATATTAATGTTATAAAACAATGTACATGAATGATTATGTGAAATTATGAGAAAATTTTAAAAGGGCTTTGTATAATGCATTTTAAAAACCATATATAAGAAGCCACAGATGGTGTTGATATTGATGTTAAGTCACTCTGGGTAGAAAAACATGACTAAATAAATAAAGCCTTCGATAAATGAAGCTAAGTGGTCAGAAACCTGACAGATGACAGGGACAAGGAGGGGTAGTTGGGCACATGAACAAAGAACAAGGATTATGTGACGTATAGAAAAACAAATAGCTCTGTTTCAGAAGGCTTCAGGAGACAGATTTTTCATTAAAGAAAAAAAAAGTAAAGGGGTGCTTTGATAATAGTAATCACTGAAAAAGAAATATTTTAGCAGCAATGGACAAAATTAACAATTCAAAAAATCTACTGCCATCAAGTCTATTCTGACTAATAGCCATTCTATTGGACAGAACTTCATAGGGTTTCTGAAGCTACAAATATTCATAAAAACAAACTGCATCATCTTTCTCCTGTGGATTCAAACTGACAACCTTTCAGTTAGAAGCCCAGTGCTTAACATCCTGTACTACCAGGGCTCCTTGAGTTCATCCATAGAGGCAGTATCTTGAATCATCATGTTATAGAGGATTACTGAAACAGGGTATTAGATGAGCTCATCCAGGGAGAAGATGTAGGGGGAAAAGATGGCCAAAAATAAAGATCTGAGATATGCTAATATTTAGAACTCAGGGAGAAGGGAGACCAAGGAAGAAAATATTTCCAAAGGAGGATAGTTATCTATGTGGTGTCCTGTTGAAATGTCAGTGGAGAGGGATAGCCAAAAGTGATCTCTGAATTTGGCATGAAGATTGTTATTCTTCTTCTTGTTGCTGTTAGGTGCCGTTGAGTCGAGCACAACTCATAGCAACCCTATGAACAAAAAATCTGAACCCTGTTATATCCTGCGCCATCCTCACACTTCCTGACACACAAGAGCCTATTTCAGCAGTCACCGTATCAATCCATTCCATCTCCTTCACTGACCCTCATCCTTCCCAATGTCATGTTTGTATCCAAAGAATAGCACCTCCTTGCAACATGTCCAAAGTATGTGAGGCGAAGCCTCATCATTCTTGCCTCCAAAGAGCACTCTGGCTGTACCATCCCCAAGACATATGTGTTCATTCTCTTGGCCATCCATGGATTGTTCAGTGCTTTTCTCCAACACCACAGCTCAAAGGCGTCCATTATTTTTCTGTCATCCCTATTCACTGTACAGCTCTTAGATGCATAGCTAGTAATCAGAAAGACTATGGCCTGAATCAGATGCACCTTAGTCTTCAAACTGACATCACTACTCATCAATAATTTTGAATGGTCCCTAACTGAAGATTTTCCCAGTGCAATGCATCTCTTATTTCTTGACTGCTGGTACCAAGCGTGTTAATTGCAGATCTAAGCATGATGAAGCTGTTGACAGTTTCAATTTCCTCTTCATCCATCATGACACTGCCTATTGATCCAGTGGTAAGAATCTTTGTTTTCCTGACATTGAGTTGCAATCCATACTGAAGGCTGCATTCCTTAATCTTCTGCAACAAGTACTTCGAACCCTCCTCACTTTCAGACAGCAAATTTGTATCATCTGCATAATGCAGGTTATTGATGAGTCTCCCTCCAATTTTGATACCACACTCCTCCTCATAGAGCCCAGCTTCTTGTATCATTTGCTCAGCATACAGATTGAATAGGTATGGAGAGAGAAGTCGGTCTTGGTGCACTCCCTTCCCAATTCCAAACCATGCAGTGCTACCCTGCTCTGTTTGCACAACAGCCTCCTGGTCCAGGTATAGGTTCTGCATGAGCACAATCAAGTGTTCTGGGATTCCCATTCTTCTCAATGTCAGCCACAACTTGTCATGATCCACACAGACAAATGCCTTTGCATAGTCAATAAAGCACAAATAGACATTCTTCTGGTATTCCTTACCTTCAGCCAGAATCTATCTGATATCAGAAATGATATCCCAAGTTCTATCCTGAAATACAATGTTGTAAGTGATAGGATAATATCCATACACATACAAGGAAGACCTGTTTACACAACTATTATTCAATATATGCTCTGACATCTAGAGCCAAAGAGGAAGATATTGATAATTTTTACCAAATTTTGCAGTCCAAAACTGACCAAACATTCAATCAGGCATGAGGATTAGTGATTTGATGGTGTTGGAATGAATAAAGGAGAAGTGAATGTAATGATTCCACAGAAGGTTCTTCAGAGAAGTTCCATCGAATGAAGGGGAAAAAAAGAGAAATGAGACAAGTTTTAAGTTTTGTTGTTGTTTTTCTTAAATCGGAAAGATATGTTTGGTTAAAATTATACTGACAAGGTCTAAGTTATGGTGGCTGAGATGTGATAAAGGAATAATCTAAACAGAGAAGTCATGAATGTGGGTGGATCATGCACATGGATGTGAAGGCAACAACAACGCTGATCAGATGGATGGTAGAGAAAACAGTACACCGTGTGTCAAAGTCCTCAGTGAACAGAGGAGAATGGCACAACAGGGACAGAGTCCATGGGCACAACCATTATTTTTAATTGTAATATTTTTCCCAACTTCTTTCTTGACCCTTTAGTTAACTAAATTATTCTCACAGAGTTACAGTGGAAGCTTTCCTTCTGTTATTAACTTCTTGTTTCACCCCTTTGTCAGAGAATATGCTTTGGGTCCTAACATATGATCCCTCCTGGAGAATGATGTGCTCTGAAAAAGAATGTGTGTGTGCTGGTACTGGGTGGAGTGTTCTGTACGTGTCTGTTAAGTTGCTTTACAGTGTTTTTTGGATCCTCTATTTCCTTACTGATCTGATCCTTCTAGATATATGTTCTGCCCATTATTGTGAACAGAGCATTCTAGATATAATGTTCTGTCCATAATTGTGTGGATCCAACTACTACTGTATTGTTAGGTACCATTGAGTCTATTGTAAAGCTGTATATTTCACAGAGAAGACTTTTTAAATTTAACAACTGTTTTATTTTACGTATATGTGTGTGTATTTATATATGTACACATATATATGCATACATATTTATCCATAAAGGAGCTCTGGTGGCTTAGTGATAGGGAGCTGTGCTGCCAGCCCACAGGCACATGGTTAAATCCACCAGCTGATGCATGGGAGAAAGATGGGCAGTCTCCTCCATGTGAGTTATAGCTGCTGGATAGTCAGCTATGAGTCGTTTCTGACTCATTGAAAAAAACATTATGTACATGTTGTTGTGTTAGAACCAACTCATAGCTGACCCTTCGGCAGATTTTCAGAGGCAGAAGATCGCCCCTCCTTCTCCTGCAGAGCAGCAGCTGGTGGCCTTGAACCGTGTGCCTTCAGGATTACAGCATAGCTTCTTGCTACTAGGCCACTAGGGCTCCAGAGATATATGTATGTATATATATATATACATTAAATATTGGTTGTTGTTGCGTACGGTAGAGTCAGAATTGACCCATAGCTGACCCTCCAGCAGGTTTTCAGAGGCAGGCAATCACACGGGAGGAGATTACCCATCCTTGTCCCATAGAGCAGCTGGTGGATTCTAACAGCGTGCCTTTGGGGTTGCAGCAAAGCTTCTTGCCAGTAGGCCACCAGAGCTCAGATATATATATACACACACACATTATATGTTTTTATATATACATATATAAAATTAGCTCTGATGGCCTACTGGCAAGAAGCTGTGCTTCAATCCCGAAGGCACGCAGTTCAAGGCCACCAGCCGCTCTGTGGGAGAAGGATAGACATTCTCCTCCTGTGAAATTGACTTCCTCTGAAAACCCATGGAGGGTCAGCTATGGGCCGGTTCTGACCCAACATTAAAAAACAACAAAACAATATATATAAAATAAGACATAGAAAAGAAGAACAGCCATCATTTGACAAAAGAAACTATATCCTTGGGGGATAGCAATTTTACTTACAGCAGTAAAATAGTCTGCCTGGCACGCTGCCTAAGCCCAGCAGTCGCAGGTGAAGGATGTGAAAGAGGCTGCTCAGAGTAGAATGACAGAGAAAGGGGATAAAAGATGAGTGCAGAATCAATTGCACATGGCCCAGGAGGAAGGGCCAGCTCAGCAGAAGCCAAGACTTGGAGGAACCTGAGGACGGAACTGAGGACAAAAAGGATTCCAAGAGAAATAAAGGGGTGGTTTATGCTGCTCAAGTTGGCCTGGGCCCTTTAATAAAAGCGAGAACAATATTGGCATTCAATGTTATGCCTGTGAGAGGTGAACATGGGAGGAAGATTCTGCCTTGGGCCTCTAAATAGGATCATGGCTCTACGGGTGGCTTCTCGTTCACCCAGGAGCAATGTGTCTACACCCAGAACCCGCAACTGATCACTTCGTCAGATTCCACAACAATGGTGACCAATTTGTCCCTATTTTTTTCAAGTCCATAGGTGTGGACCCTCTGCCAGCTAAGCTGTCCTATGACAAGTCACATGACCAAGTGTGGGTCCTGAGCTGGGGGGATGAGCACAAGTCCCAGCCGAGTCTCCAGGTACGTTGAGCATTCAGAGGCTTACATCCACCATATGGGACTCTATTTAGAAAGTGTTTCCCGCCTCTCAGTGTGGCTGACCATGCTTTACAAAATATGTCCATGAAGCCCGGTGAAGGAAGCAGCCTAAGGCCAACATGCTACTTGAAATTAACATCATATCTTAATCTCAGCCTGCTGTTGAAGGCCATAATGTTGATGATGTATAGGATTCCGAGTTGGGTGGGGGTTAAGAGTATTCAGCCACCCACCCAACTCAGCCCCACAATGCATGCCTCTCTTGAGAAAATAGTGTCAAAGCTAGTAAATAAAAGAGGAGAAGTAGCAACTATAGCCATAAATGAGAACACATTTACCAAATGTTTATCATATTGTTGTGTACCGTTGAGTCAGAACCAAACCACAGCTGACCCTCCAGCAGATTTTCAAAGGCAGTTAATTGCATAGGAGATTCCCCATCCATCCTCCTGTGGGCCAGCTGGTGAATTTGAGTCAATTTGAGATTGCAGTGCAGTCAGTATCTGATCACTAGGCCACCATGTTGTTGTTGTGTGCCATCAAGTCGCTTGCATCTCATAGCAACCCTATGTACAACAGCTCTGAATCCTGTTCTGTCCTGTGCCAAACCTACTGTCTCTGACACATCTACCCCCATTACCCTAGTCACTGAGTCAATCCATCTCAACCAGAGTCTTCCTCTCCTTTGCTCTCCCTCCACCTTTCCAAGCATGAGGACCCTCTCCAAGGACTGGTTCCTCCTTGCAACATGTCCAAAATATGTCAGAGAGAGCTTCAGAATCCTTGCTTCCAAGGAGCAGCCTGATTTTACCCTCTCCAGAACAAACCTGTTTGTTCTCCTAGCAGTCCATGGTATATTCCGTACTCTTCTCCAGCACCACAGCTCCAAGGCATCAATTCTTCTATCATCCCTAGTCATTGTCCAGCTTTCTGATGCATAGAAAGTAATTGCAAAGACCATGGTCTGGATCAGGTGAACCTTAGCCTCCAGACTGACATCATTGTTCTTCAGTACTCTGGAGCGGTCCCTGACAGCAGATTTTCCCCAATGCAATTTGTCTTTTGATTTCCTGGCTGCTGGTACCAAGAGTGTTAATTGTAGATCCAAGCAGCTGAAGCAGTTACAACCTTAATCTCTTCACCATCTATCATGACGCTGCCAATTGGCCCTGTGGTGAGAATCTTTATTTTCTTGATGTTGAGCTTGAATTCACATTGAAGACTACAGTCCTTGACCTTCTGCAGCAAGAGCTTCAAGTCCTCCTTAGTTTCAGCAAGCAGGGTTGTGTCATCTGCATAAAGCAGGTTGTTGATGAGTCTTCTCCAATCCTGATTCCACATTCCTCCTCATACAGCCTAGTCTCCTGGACAATCTGTTCCACATACAGATTGAAAAGTTATGGAGATAGGTTGCATCCCTGGTGTACACCTTTCCTAATTTTGAAATATGCAGTGTTTCCTTGCTCTCTTTTGATGACTACCTTCTGGTCCAAGTATAGGTGTCACATAAGCACAATCAAGTGTTCTGGGATTCCCATTCTTCTCAAAATTAGCCAAAGTTTGTTGTGATCCACACAGGTAAATGGTTTTGCATAGTCAATGAAACACAGATAGACATTCTCTGCTTTCAGCCAAGATCCATCTAACATTAGTTATAGTATCCCTAGTGTCATGGCCTCTTCTAA